TTTCTTTTTAAGACAGGGTCTCGCTAAGTAGCTGAAGCTGGCCTCAAACTTGTATCCTCCTGCCTCAGTCTCCAGAGTCATTGATTATAAGCGTGCGCCACCATGCCTGGCCTAACTCTGCGAATCTTAGTGTGAGAACTTCCAAATGCCCCTCCTGCTCCTCCAATGTAGAAAAAAAGAAAGTCTCAGCCAATAACAGCCATCCACTCTCATCTTCAGACTCTTTTCAAGCTGGAGACACACTCTTGAGCTCCTAGACTAAAACATTCTGACATGTTTTCCAGAGGCCTCCAAAGAATTTCCCGTGATAATAATCAAGCCAAATCCCAGTGCACTTTCCTGGGTCCCTATTCACTCTAACTTCCCAGGCTGACTCTTCCTCTCCCAGGGGAAGCCGCAGCTCCTCGTGAATCTGACGAAAACTGCTCTTCAAAGATGAGTACACAAGTCATTTCCTTCAAGTGCCAGAGTGGACTCACAGCCACAGGGAAATAAAAGCAACGAGGGACTTTAGTCTCAAGTGTAGAAGCCAAAGTCTCAGGAAATCCCTCGAGGTTCCCCGGAATTCCCAACCTATTCCCAAGGAGCCGGTAGTAACCTAACCCCACCCCCACCTCCTCCCATTCCATTTCCACCCCTCCCAGCCCTTCGGTCCCCACCTCTGGCAGCTGTCGCGCAGGGACATAAGGCTGTAGGGTCCTGACTACAATGCTTGGTCCAGACTGAAGCTGCCAAAGCATGCGCGGCCCCGCCCCCAGGACACGCTCTGACCAATGAGGATTCCGCTCCATCCACAGGGCTCCGCCCACTGCGGTTCCAGGCTAACGGTTTTAACGGTCCTAACGGTCTTAACCTGCATGATCCAGCACCTAGCCCGACGGCCTGCCTCCCACCACACATAACCTCACTGGTACACATAACTATAAGGGACTTATCTCACACCCCCACAGTCTCATTCCCGCTCCCCGCTTGTCGCCTGACCTTCACCCCATTGCATATGCAAAAACCAAGGATGCCCTGAACCCCAAGAATGGTGAGGTGCCTCTTACAAAGGCAGCATGTAAGGTGGACCAGGTGGCCAAAAACTAGGGCATGGCTGGGGCTTGGATGGTGGGAATGAGGGCAGAGATGGGGAGCGTCTGTGACAAGAGGCACTGCGGTCTGATGGGGACACAAAACTGGAACTGTGGAAGAGAAAGGAGGCAAGACACTGTCTGAGGTTTCTGGTCTACTGAATGCTGGAGTGGCATAAGGGCAGGGACAGAGGGTGTAGGGCAGGAAGGCTCTATCTCTGCCTCTGTTGGTTCCAGATGACTTTGGAAGCAATGAAACAGGATGAGTTCAGCAATGAAAGAGTACAGATGAAAGAGATTGAATTGAGCACTAGAAGATGCACAACTATAGAGACCTCAGAGATGACAGAAAAGCATGCAAAGGACGGGAGCAATGTCATCCCCTACAGGAAAAAGTGTCTGAGAGACAAGTGTTAGAGAAACAGAAAGGTGTTATTTAGTGACCAAAGAATGAAGAGGGAACTTTGCTTACAAATCATCTCAATTCGAGGAGTTTGATGGGTTACACATATAGGATAAGAATAATGAGAGAGAGAAATTAATAAAGGGAAAAATATTCATGAACTTTTTGGGACCAGGCAGAGATCTTCCAGAAATTCAAGTGCCAGCTCTTTTTTTTTTAATATTTATTTTTTGGTTGTAGATGGACACAATATATTTTTAAGTGGTGCTGAGGATGGAACCTCAGATGTGCTAGACAAGTACTCTACCCCTGAGCCACAATCCCAGCCCTGGTGCCAACTCTTTTGAATCCTTTTACAATTTAATGTTTTCTGGTAATAGCAGCTGGTGTCATTGGCCTTGAAAAGTGGGGGAGAGGGATGGTTAGCAAGTCCAAGTCAATTTAACCTTGTTCTACAGTTTCAGACAAAATATTTCTCAAATGTTCGACATGTCTACATGCAGAGCTGAGTAGAAATCTGACCCAAAGGTAAGACAGCAAAATAGACACAATGCAAAGGCAATACCATGTCAAGTATGACATATCTATGGGCCCAAGTGAAGAGTTCATATTTTCAACAAAAACAATCTTCAAATTCCTTGAAAGTAACCTAGACAACTGTTATCATAATGCACACCAAAAGTGTCATCTACAGCAAAACTAGTGGGAGACTAATAATGTATTGCACAGCTGTGTAACTTCCAATACTAGTGATTTTAGTCAACTAAGAACAGGCAAAGCTAGACGGTTTATTTAGGATTTTCTTCAGTAACAGAGACACCAAAGAGTGAGCCTCTCCGGAAGCCATCTGAAACATATTTCAAAAGAAGAGGAAATCAACTGTGGCAAGTTGCTGATGTTTCAAAGAAAATGAGTGAGAATTGCTGGTGACCTTGGCAGGAACATTTTCAGAGATATAGTGGAAACAAAACTCTGATTGGGCCGGGCGTGGTGGCACACACCTGTAATCCCAGCAGTTTGGGAGGTTGAGACAGGAGGATCAGGAGTTCAAAGCCAGCCTCAGCAAAAGCTAAACAACTCAGTGAGACCATGTCTCTAAATAAATTACAAAATAGGGTTGAGGATGTGGCTCAGTGGTTGAGTACCCCTGAATTCAATCCCCAGTACCAAAAAAAAAATCTGATTAGTTTGAGAATTCAAAAGACCAGGAAGAACGATTTGGTATATCCATCCAATGGACAACAACAGGAAAACAATGAGGACTGAACAACTCCATGCAGCAATATGGATAAATCTCAATTATGCTGAGTGAAAAACCAGATACAAAAGAATGCATACTGTGTGATTCTATTTATATAAAATTCTAGAAAATGCAAATGATCCATAGTGACCAAAGGAACAGTGTGTGTGTGTGGGGGGGGGGGGGGTGGGGATGTGGCTCAAGCGATAGCGCGCTCGTCTGGCATGCCTGCGGCCCGGGTTCAATCCTCAGCACCACATACAAAGATGTTGTGTCCCCCGAAAACTAAAAAATAAATATTAAAATTCTCACTCTCTCTTAAAAAAATGACACACACCTATAATCCCAGAGAATCAGGAAGCTGAGGAAAAAGACCACAAATTTGAGGCCGCCTGGGTCACTTAGTGAGACCCTGTCTCAAAAAAAGGTTGGGCTGGAGTTGTGATTCAGTGGTAGAGAGCATGCCTACCATGTTTGAGACACTGGGTTCAATTCTCAGTATGACATATAAATGAATAATATAAAGGTCCATCAACAACTAAAAATATATATTAAAAATTAAATAAAAAGATAGCCCTTTTTATTAACTCAGTGGTAGAGCACCCCTGAGTTCAATTGCTAATACTGTAAAGTACTAGAGTGTAGTCCAGGGCTAGAGAACTTGCCTATCATGCACAGGGTCCTGGGTTCAATCCCAGCACTGCAAAAAATAAAAATTACAGAGTTGAAGGTCCATTCTGTTCTCCCTGATACTATTCTTATGTTTATAGAAGAACTCAGGAGTGCTCTACCATTGAGTTAATAAAAAGGGCTATCTTTAAAAAAAAATCCTATATATTTTTAGTTGTTGATGGACATTTATATTATTTACATGTGGTAATGATTTAATATCATTCTTTTTTATCTTTTTTAAGAGAGATTTTTTTTAATATTTATTTTTTAGTTTTTAGCGGACACAACATCTTTTGTTTGTATGTGGTGCTGAGGATCCAACCCGGGCCTCATGCATGCCAGGCAAGCGCGCTACCACTTGAGCCACATCCCCAGCCCTCTTTTTTATCTTTATTATTTTATTTTTATGTAGTGCCGAGGATCAAACCCAGTGCCTCACACATGCTAGGCGAGCGCTCTACCACTGAGCCACAAATCCAGCCCCTAATATCATTCTTATGCATGATTTATACTTTTTTAAAAATATTTTTTAAGTTGTACATGGATACAAAATCTTTATTTTTTAAAAATTTTTTTTGTGGTGCTGAGGATTGAACCCAGTGCCTCACACATGCGAGGCAACTGCTCTATCGCTGAGCTACAACCTCAGCCCAAAATTCATGTTTCTATCCATAAATAATACATTGCATTGATTTTCATGTCTATCATCTTATAAATGATATATTTTGTGTATCTTTATACAACTTTTTGATTCAACATATTTAGAGTTGATTTCTGTGGATGCCCATATTTGCAGCCCCTTCATAGTAACTCCATTGAGTGACTATAACCCAATTTTCTCATTGTCCCATTGCCAGGCTGCTAAATTTTTCTCCTATGAAGACTGAGCATCCCTCATCCAAAAATACAAAATCCAAAACTTTTTGAGTGCCAGCGGGATGACAAGTGGAAAATTCCACTCAACTCATGTGATAGGTCTGGGTTTAAATACTAAAAATACAGGGCTGGGGATGTGGCTCAAGTGATAGCGCACCCACCTGGCATGCGTGCGGCCCAGGTTCGATCCTCAGCACCACATACAAACAAAGATGTTGTGTCCACCGAAAACTAAAAAATAAAATTTAAAAAAATTCTCTCTCTTTTAAAAAATAAATAAAAATACAGATCTGGGAGTAATGGTGTGTGCCTATATTTCCTCCTAAGAGCTATCAGCCTCTTAAACATTTCTTCTGAATTCATGACATACTTTCTAAAATTTATCTTCTTAGTAGTATGGTCGCATAGTTTTAGAATGCAAGATTTGCCTCTACTACATTATTAAATACTTCATTGGCTGTGAGTCTACTGAACTCCACTGTGGATTCCCATATGTTTAAATAAGGGTCTTGCAGACTGATAATGCCAAGGGACAGATTTCTCTTATAGAGAAGAAATAGCAGAAAGGATAAAAGAGTAGCAGGTCAGGTGCTGCCTCAACAAACAGCATTGTGGAGTCACAACCTCCTCTTGTTACTAAGCAACATCAAGTGGACCCCTCCAGATTCTCTTCCCTCAGATGTAGCCTCAAAAAGACAAGAGAAAAGTTTGTCTTTTCTACTCCCTTCCTGGAAAGATGCAAAGTGCTTTAATAGGCTCCTGGGTAAGAGTGCACTTCATAGCTAATCCCGGCCCCTGACCCTGGGGTTATACATGGAATCTGAGTGAGTCATGAAGGTGAAGTTAGGTTTCATCCAGCAAGCTGGTAGAGAACCCTGAGCTGCCACCTTCCCCTCTTCAGTTCTGGGGTCATCCCTGGAGGCTACCTAGTCTTCCTGATACTTTGTCCCCTTCCATAAAACCTTGTCTGCTAGACAGCTGAGCCTCCTAACCCTCTTGTCACCCCGTTTATTCCCCGTTCATTGTTTGATTCACATCCTCATCCTTACTCTGGAGTTTGACCGCTTTACAGTCTGGGAACATCTAAGGACAGTGATTGTGTTTTCATCTATTTGTATTTCCTGGGTCCAGCTCTATGCCCTAAAGGTCCAGTAAATACTGTTGAACTTAACTAAATAGACAGCAAGAGATTCTAAACAGTACAGAGGTAGACAAGTAAGGTGACTTAATCTTCAGTGCAATGAAAAGATTTTAGGTTTTCCAGTCCTGTTGAGAAGTCTGCTATGGTAGACAGAAGCCATGTTCAGAACAGGTTCCTCTGCTCAGGATTATAACTGTAGAGGATCAGATAAACTCATTCTTAGAACTCAGGACAAGAAGTTGGACCATAGGAGTTCCCAGACATGATCATCCACAGGGTATCCATCTAATAACATCAGCACAGTACACCAGCTTCTTGGACCCATGATAGGTGCTCATTTCTTTCTTTTGCCAGTGCCTCTGAAGTTCTCTCTAGAAGATATTCTCTGTTGCTTAAATACTTCTTTTGGAAAGTTTATCCCTTGCTTGGGTGCTCCAAATTCTGAAGGTTGCCCTCTTGTCCCGGAATAGCAAAGTATGTGGCAAATGAGTGTTCATAGCTTTGTCAAAAGGTGCAGAAGGATCCATAGGACCCTTGATTTTCAGGGACCCTTGATCTACTTTTAACACTGTGGGGAGGACATCAAAGGGGACTTCCTCTCAGGCACCTTAAGACCAAACCACTGAATAGTGGACATGCCCATAGAACTCTGCTCTGAATAAATGGTATCCCTTTCCCCCACACACATAGCTGTCCTAGGTGGGTCAGCACAGCTGAAACCAACTCTCCCGATGATGAATGAGGACACATCTTCCTTTCCAGGAGTGTTCCTCTTTATATTCTTTCTATTATTCCAGGAGCTCCAGTGAGGGGCTTTTTACCTGGCTTCTCTGGAGCCAGGTAAAAAGGAGGGACCCTGAGGTCTGGGACCTGGGGTAGGGAGCGTGTGAGTGGGCTTTATCCTCATGCATGCCTTGTTATAGCACAACAGTGGCTTTTATGGGCACTACAGAGGCCAATTCAAGAGTGAAACTGCTGGAGAATATCGCCTTGCAGCCAAGCCCCAACCTCCAGCAACATTCCTGCAGCGATGTCAGGTACAAGGTGGGGGGTGGGAGGCAGGCAGGAAGAGATGGGCCATTTCTTGCCTCTTCCAGGCCCCAAGGTCCTCATACCAACCCTTTCAGAATCAGACTGACACCCAGGTTCATCCTAACCCTGGGAAAGACAGAAGGCTTGGTTCCTCTTCCCTGGAATGTCAGATCTTCCCTCTATTTAGAGAAGAGCAGGTGCCAAACTGGACAGTATAGCTCACTGTTTCTTCTAGATGGAGGAAGGGTCCAAGCCTCAGTGGGATGCATAATTAGGGGTGAGAGCCTTCAGAACCCAGGAAGGAAGGCTTCAGTTTTGCTGAACAGCCCTCCAGTTCAGATACTCAATGTCACAAAAGCCTACAGCCAGCCTCACACAGTCCAGGTCTGAATAAATGGTATCCCTTTCCCCCACACACATAGCTTTCCTAGGTGGGTCAGCACAGCTGAAGCCAACTCTCCCAATGATGAATGAGGACACATCTCCCTTTCCAGGAGTGTTCCTCTTTATATTTTTCTATTCTGCCAGGAGCTCCAATGAGGGGCTTTTTACCTGGCTTCTCTGGAGCCCTCAGGAGGGACCCTGAGGTCTAGGACCTGGGGTAGGGAACATGTGAGTGGGCTTTATCCTCCTAATGTTAATAACATCAGCAGAGTACACCCGCTTCTTGGACCCATGATAGGTACTCATTTATTTCTTCTGCCAATGCCTCTGAAATTCTCTCCAGAAGATATTCTCTGTTGCTTAAATACTTCTTTCAGAAAGTTTATCCCTAGCTTGGGTGCTCCAAATTCTGAAGGTTGCCCTCTTGTCCCGGAATAGCAAAGTATATGGCAAATGGACCTTGGGAATGAGTAGGACACCTAGTCAGGCAGGGAAATAGCACAGGAGGCTACTGGATACTAGTCTACATATCTGCAAGACTGGATAGGAGAGATGGCAGACATGTCCTAGAGTAGCTAAAACAGGTTTCTATACAGTAAAGGGGTACAGGGTCGTAGGCCTTCTGTCATTACAGGCCTGGAAACAAGGAGAGGGCACTGTATATTACCAGTCAAGGTCTCAGCAGGCTTAAAACAAGAGAAGTCAGGAGGGTATACTTTTAAAAAGAGTGGGCGTAAAGGCCTTAGGAAAAGGCAGTCTCACAGTCTGATAACAATCAAGTGGGCAGTATTACTATCGGGCCCAAAGGGATAAGGAGATGCATGGCTCCTAGAACCCAGAAGGACAGAGAAAGGTGTGGCAAGAGCTACCCTGAGAGGAACAGTGATCCTAAGTGGAGAGAGACAGCCAGGTGGGAGCTAGCTTGGGAGGGGTTAGAAAAAAAATCTCCCTCTCTTTATTCATCTCTTCCCAGAACTCTGTAGTGGCCAGAGTGAAGGGACCCTGTGACACATCTACTCAGGTCCACCTCCTGAACAAGATCATGGGGGAGGAAAATCCATAGGAACCAGTATCAGTGCCCAGAATATGCTCCACCCACTGCAGCTTCTTGTTTCCCCGCCCTTTGTGAGGTCCAACTGTAACTGTCATTTGGATTCTTCAAGAATTTCTTTCTTAGGCTGAAAGAAGGGTCCTGAAGGCTGCCATGTTGTGCAACCTGAATTTCCTTAACATGTTCAATTGGAAGGTCTGCCTGGCACTGTCTTCCAAACCATACCCAAGTGCAATCCTAGACTGCCCATCAGGGCCACCTCCCATTTATTTGTTTATTGATTGATTGATACTAAATATTGAACCCAGGGACACTTAAACACTGAGCCACATCCCCAGCCTATTTATTTATTTATTTATTTATTGAGACAGAATCTTGCTAATTGCTCAGGGCCTTGCTAAATTGCTGAAGCTGGCTTTGAACTTGTGATCCTCCTCCTGCCTCAGCCTCCTGAGCCCCTGGGATTACAGACATGTACCACCACACCTGGATGGCCACCTACCTTTTTGAGGGTGATGGAGTGAATTTTGTACAGGAATAGAAGGAAACTAGAGCCTTTCTACTGAATGTCTGTAGTAGCCCTCAGTGATGTTTTTCATCCCAGAGACTAGAACAGCCTCTCAATCCATTAAACCCAGCCCCAGGTATAGATATGGAGTTCATGATGAAACTGAAGACTTGGAGAATTTATAGTATTATCAGTAACTCCAGGTAGCATGATCTGTGTATTCTGGACTCAGGTTGTATAAATGGCTCTTTCTAGATTTAAAGCTATCTTAATTAATAGGAAGGACTTCCCAGGGAAGGTGCACATCTTATTTTTGGCTTGGTTGAAAGTATCAGGTTTCAGTTGATTGTGGCTATTGTTTAAAGACCTTTTAAAATGTGACATCTACCTTCTTTTGGTTTGGGGGAGGTTAAAAACTTTTTTTCTTTTTCTTTTTTTGTCCTGGGGATTGAACCCTGGAGTGCTCTACCACAGTGATACATCCCCAGTCCTTTTTATTTTGAGACAGGGTCTTGCTAAGTTGCTGAGGCTGGCCTCAAACTTGCAGTCCTCCTGCCTCATCCTCGTAAGTTTCTAGGATTACGGGCATGTGCCACCACACCCAGTGGGCAGGTAAACATTTTGTCTGTGATATTCAGAAACAAAAACATTTTTTTTTTCATTTTTCTGGTAAATCAAATTGCCTTCACCTACCTGACTCTTAGGAAATGTAATCCTTAGTCAGACAAGAGTCCCAGACTCATGGATGAGGTCAGGTCCTTCATCTGTGGTGCCATAACTGCTGTGTCTCTACTAAGCCCCACACCTCAGTTTGACATAGAGGCTCCTCTCTCAGAACCCTACTGAATACAGACTGTCCAGCCTCTACAAGGTCCTTAAGCCTCAACTTATAAATGCTGCCTCCTCTCAGGAAACCTACCTCCAAGTCCTATTAAAAAAGAAATTGTAGGGCTGGGGATGTGGCTCAAGCAGTAGCACACTCGCCTGGCATGCATGGGGTGCTGGGTTCGATCCTCAACACTACATAAAAATAAAAAATAAAGATATTGTGTCCTCTTAAAATAAAAACTAAAAAATAAATATAAAAAGAAAGAAATTGTAGCTCTAGCCCTTCCTATTTATGGGTTTTACCACCTCTGTAGAAAAGGAGCCCTGAACAGTTTAGAAACAAAGATACCAGAGCAAGAAAACCCAGAACTGCCCAGGGAGAGAGGGTGTGATTATTCTTCTCAACAGGCTCCCACAATTGTGAGAGCAAAACTCCAATCAGGCTCATATATTATCCTGCCACTGTAGAAATAGTGAGTTTCCAGAATCAGAGCTATCTCCAACAACTGAGCCATTTGTTGTAAGGCTATGTACAATTCTGCAGCTGAGAATAGAGGTAGGAGAGAAAATTGGAGGTCAACAGGAACTTGTTGGATTCTTTTGTTTTGTTTTGTTTGGTACCAGGGATTGAACTCAGGGCACTTGACCACTAAGCCACATCCCAGCCCTATTTTGTAATTTATTTAGAGACAGGGTCTCACTGAGTTGCTCAGCACCTCGTTTTTGCTGAAACTAGCTTTGAACTCACAATCCTCCTGCCTCAGCTTCCCAAGCCGCTGGGATTACAGGCGGACGCCACTGTACCTGACTGATTCTTAAGCAGTTGTAAGAAATAATAATCACCTCTACACTTCCCAGTTTCCTTAATGTTAGCATTTTGCAAAGCTACAGTCCACAACCAGGACATTGATACTGATGCAATCTCATTCAGATTTCCCAGTTTCATTTGTACTTGTGTGTGTGTGTGTATGTGTGTATGTGTGTGTATGTGTGTGTGAGAAAGAGAGAGAGAGAGATCTATAAAATATTATCATCTTTTAAAAAATATATTTATTTAGTTGAAGATGAACAATTTTTTTTTAATGTGGTGCTGAGGATCGAAGAAAACAGTGCCCCACACAAGAGGCAAGCACTCTACCACTGAGCTACCCCAGCCCCCAAATTTTATCATCTTTAACATTACAAGGATCCCTGGTGCTGATCTTATATTACCAACTCAACTCCTTCCCACTCTTGCATACTTTCTCTGATCTTAACTACCAATCTCTCCTCCATTTCTAAAATTTTTGTCACTTAAAGTGCCATATAGCAGACACTGTGGCACATGCCTATAATTCTAACTATTCCAGAGGCTGAGGCAAGAAGATAACAAGTTTGAGACCTGCCTGGGCATCTTAGTGAGATCCTGTCTCAAAATAAAAATACAGCCAGATGCAATGGCACAAAACTATAATGCTGGCAACCTAGGAAGCTGAGGCAGAAAGATTGTAAGTTCAAGACCAGTCTCAGCAACTTGTGAGAAATCCTCGGTAACTTAGTGAGTATCCTGTCACCAAAAAAAAAGACAAATAAACAAACAATAACAAACAAACAACAACAAAAACAAAAACAGCTATACATGGTAATCCCAGCAGCTTGGGGGGTTGATGCAGGAATACTATAAATTCAAAGTCAGCCTCAGCAATTTGGTGATGCCCTAAGCAACAACAAAAAAAAAAAATCTGTGCAGCTTTATTTATATAAGCTTTATTTGAGACCCTGTCTCAAAATAAAAAAGGGCTGGGGATATGGCTCAATGGTTAAGTGCCTCTGGATTCAATCCCTGGTACCAAAAAGGAAAGAAAAAAAAAAGGACGGGGGATGTAGTTTAGTAGTATGCAGCTCAATCCCCAATACCAAAAATCAATCAATCAATCAATCAAATAAATAAACAAACAAACAAACCAACAAACCGGGGCGCGTAGCTCATGCTTGTAATTCCAGCAGCTAGGGAGGCTGAGACAGGAGGATCGAGAGTTCAAAGCCAACCTCAGCAATGGTGAGGTACTAAGCAACTCAGTGAGACCCTGTCTCTAAATAAAATACAAAATAGGGCTGGGTATGTGGCTCAGTGGTTGAGTGCCCCTGAGTTCAATCCCTAGCACTCCCTTCTCCCCCAAAATTAAAAGAAATAAAAAGGTCTAGAAATGTAAATCAGTGGTAAAGTGTCCCCTGGATTCAACCCTCAATATTGGGGAAAATTGCTATATAAATGGAATAATACAGGGGCTGGGGTTGTGGTTCAGTGGTAGAGCATTTGCCTAGCACGTGCGAGGCCCTGGGTTCGATCCTCAGCACTACATATAAATAAATAAAATAAAGGCATTGTGTCCAAGAACAACCAAAAATAAATATTTTTTAAAATGGAATAATACAATATTCAACCTTTGGAGAGGTTTTCTTGCTCAGTATAATTTCCTAGTTATCCAAGATCCATTGAGTATATCAAAAATTCAGTTCATTACTGAACAGTATTCCATGGCACATATGTATTGATTTGTTTAAACATTCACTTATTGGACATCTGAGCTGATGCCAGCTTTGAGCTTTTTATAAATAAAGCTGCTATGAACATTTGTGCACATATTTTTTTGGTGAACATGAGTTTCCATTTCTCTGGGATAAATGCCCAGAAGTACAATTGCTGGGTCAGATGGTAGTTGCATGTATTTTTTTAAAGAAACTGTCAAGCTCTTCTCCAGAATGGCTGTACCATTTTTACATTCCCACCAGCAATGCATGAATGATCTAGTTTCTCTGCATTCTCACTCACATCTCTATTTTTAATTTTAGCCATTCCAGTAGATATGTAGTGATATTTCACTGTAGTTTTGATTTCTATTTCCCTATTGTTTAGTGATGTTGAAAATTCTTTAATGTGTTATTTTTCAGATGCACATTGTGTTTGATGAAAAAAATCTTCATATTGTTTGCCCATTTTCTTATTAGATTGTATTTTTACTGTTGAGATGTTAGAGTTCTTTATAAATTCTATATACAAATCCTTTATTGGGTATGTGGTTTATAAATATTTTCCTTCTAGTCTTCATCCTTTTCATGTAGATTTTCTTTCTTTCTTTCTTTTTTTTGGGTGTGGATGGAGGGGTACTGGGTATTTAATCCAGGAGTGCTTTATCACTGAGCTGCATCTCCATTCTCCTTTTTCAATTTGAATTATTTATTTATATTTTCTTAATATTTATTTTTTAGTTTTAGGTGGACACAGTATCTTTTTTTTTAATATTTATTTTTCAGTTTTCGGTGGACATAACATCTTTATTTTATTTTTATGTGGTGCCGAGGATCGAACCCAGCACCCCGCGCATGCCAGGCGAGCACGCTACCGCTTGAGCCACATCCCCAGCCCTGGACACAATATCTTTATTTTATTTTTATGTGGTGCTGAGGATCGAACCCAGCACCCCGCGCATGCCAGGTGAGCACGCTACCACTTGAGCCACATTTCCAGCCCCTTATTTATAATTTTTTTGTTGTTGTTTGAGTTTTTTTGTTTGTGCCCAAGATTGCACAGAGGGGCACTTACCACTAAGCCACATCCCCAGCCCTTTTTATTTTTTAAAATATTTTTATTAGTTGTTGATGGACCTTTATTTTACTTACTTATTTATATGTGGTGCTGAGAATTGAACCCAGTGCCTCATGCATGCTAGGCAAGCACTCTACCACTGAGCCACAACCCCAGTCTGCCCTTTTTATTTTTTGAGACAGGATCTCACTAAATTGCTTAGGGCCTTGCTAAATTACTGTGGCTGGCTTTGAATTTGAGATCCTCCTGCCTCAGCCTTCAGAGTCTCTGGGATTATACGCATGTGCCACCATACCTCACTAAATTCTGAAGCAGGATCTCACCAAGTTGCTGAGGGTCTGAGTTGCTTACAGTCATGCAACACCATGCTTGGCTAGACTTTGTTTCTTTTCTTTTTCTTTCTCCTTCTTTTCTTCCTCTTCCTCTTGATTCCCCTCCTCCTCCTCTTATTTTTTTACTTGAGGTACTGGGAATTGAATCCAGGGCCTCCCACACACCAGGCAAGTGCTCTACAACTAAGCTACATTCCTGACCGTGTGTGTGTGTGTGTGTGTGTGTGTGTGTGTGTGTGTGTGTGTTGGGGCGGAGATGCGTGTTTCTGTGACTTACTTTTTTTTTTTTTTAATTTTTAAGATCCCACACTTATAAACTCAAAGAAAAAAAAACCCATACCTGATCCCTTCAGCATAATCTCTCACTGAAGATGGATTTTTATTCTTTAGCTAATTTTTTAACTTTTGTATCAGGGATTGAACTCAGGGGCACTTAACCACTGAGCCACATCCCCAGCCCTTTTTTGTATTTTTATTTAGAGCTAGGATTTCACTTAGTTGCTTAGGGCCTTGCTAATTTGCTGAGGCTGGCTTTGAACTCATGATCCTCCTGCCTCAGCCTCCAGAGCCACTGGGATTACAGGTATGTGTCATGGTGCTGGGCCGATATTATTGTAATGATTGAAAAACTACTTTCTCAATTCCCCTCCTCTCTTGTTCATCATTCTTTAGATGTGGTAAATCTAGCAGTTTTCCTCTGGTTTATAGACTTTTTGGTGATTTCTCATTTGCACTTCATCAATTGCTGCCTAGGTTTGAGATAAATTAAACAATTACAAAGCATGATTAGAGGAAGAGGTACAAGGAGATGTGAGCTAGTATAATGTAGTGTGTTTGAGTCCCAGATCTGATATTCAACTCAAGGCAAATTACTTTACCTTTCTAGATATTACGGTCCACCCACTTTTTAAAATTTATTTATTGGGGCTGGGGATGTGGCTCAAGCGGTAGCGCGCTCGCCTGGCATGCGTGTGGCCCGGGTTCGATCCTCAGCACCACATACAAAGATGTTGTGTCCACTGAAAACTAAAAAAAATAATAAATAAATATTTTAAAATAATTCTCTCTCTCTCTCTCTAAATAAAATAAAATTTATTTATTTATTTAGGTACTGGTTATTTAACCCAAGGGCACTTCACCACTGAGCCATATCTCCAGTCCTTTTTATTTTTATTTTTTTTTAATTTTAAGACAAGGTCTCACTAAGTTACTGAGAGCCTCACTAAGTCGTTGATCACAAGTTTGGCCTCAAACTTGTGATATTCCTGTCTCGGCCTCATAAACTGCTGGGATTACAGGTTTGTACTACTATGCCTGGCTGGAGTAAGCAAAGCAGAGAGCAAAGAGCTTATGTTCCAATGAAAGGCATCGGAGGACAGGCAATATCATTATATAGAGAGTGTTAGGAAGCAGAAAACATGGAGTTGAGGAGATGGGACTACTGGTACAAAACTAAAGGAATGTCTCTCGAGAGGTAAGTAAAAGGGAACTCCATGGCCAGCAGAAGAAACTAGTGGAGCAAAGGCCTGAGGAGGAAGTATCTGGCATGTTTGGGGAGCAGGGAGAATGCTACTGTGACTGGAGGTAGGATCAATAGGGAAAAATCAGTATCATGTGGGTCTCATGAACCACTACTATAACTCTGGCTGTTACAAACACAAAGAACTGGGGCTGGGGCTGTAGCTCAGTGGCAGAGCACTTGAATCCAGTGTGAGGCACTGAATTCAATCCTTAGAACCACATTAAAAAAATAAAATAAAGGCGTGCTGTCCATCTACAACTAAGAACAAAACAACAACAACAACAAAAAAAAAACATGCAAAACTTTTGTGGCAAACAAGATGTGATCTGATTCATGTATTAAAAGAATTTCTTTCTACTAAGAAGACCACAGATTAGGGTGGTAAGGTGAGCTTGAAAGCAGGGACACCAGGCAGGAAGCTCTTGCAATAATTCAGGCAAGAAAATAAGGTGGTTTGGACCAGAGAAAAGTCTGGACATGCTGAGGAGTAATTTGATCCTGGATACACTTTTAAGGAAATATCAATTGGATTTCTTGGTACATTGAATGTGGAATGTGAGAGAAAAGAACCAAGGGGTCTCTGAGGTGTTTGACAGGACCTAACTGCCATTGCTTAAGCTGGGAGAGGCTGTAGGTAGAATGGGTCTGGAGGATGATCCAAAGTTGTTTGGATATACTATCAAGAGTTGACATGGAAATGTGGAAGACAGTTGGCTCTTGAGACTGGGGTTCAGGAGACAGCTTGAGCTAGAGACAAAAATTGTAGTTCTAGATAGAATGTAGGGTTCAGAGCATGGTTATGCTGTAAAGGGAGTAAGTGTGGACAGAGAAAAGACTTTGCAATCTAGTGTTAAAGGGCCCCACTTATGGCAGGATGTCCTGATAGATGTCTCAGCCCACTCCTCAACCAGTGGCCTCAGAAACTACTGCTTCAGGGAAAGTCCCAGAACGAAATATCCAGGGAGTAAGGTACTGCTTTAATTTGTCTCTGACCTTTCAGAGTGTTGACAGTTTAGCAGTTTAGAGGTGGTAGCTCCTGAAGCTTCCCTCCATTATGGACACTGAGGCAATATCTGGGGGAGAAGGTAAGCATCATTTCCCCCGTTCCCCTTCTTTCTCATCATTTTTCAAGGAACCAGCACAGCAACACTTTTTCTCCAAGCATGACAACCGCACTTCTTTTGACAAAGTGAGTGCTACAGACAGGCAAGAGAAGAGACAATCCCCCAGCCCAAGTGGAAGTTGAGCACACAGCAGTTGGTAGGGTGGAGTGAATTAAGATCCTGAAGAAAGGGAGGGTTCTTTAAACAGGCAGAGGAGTGCCTATTTCCCCCACAATATTTCTCCTCTGGGAAATCTCTTATTCTTTTAAGAGTGGTACCTCTGTTTTGGTTTCCTCTGCCAACTTGCCCCAATACTATATGCAAGTCTGCTGGGGACCACTGGATTTTCAGGACCCCATTTCCATAACAGAATGGTTCCCATCACTGAGGAGGCAAGCCAATGAGGACAGGGGACAGGCCAGGGAGGCCAGGTATGGGCTAGGCATCACCAAACAGGTTTGGGATTAGATGGGGCCCAAGGAAATGCTTGGTGCCAAGACTGTGGGCCAAGGGCCCATACCGTTGAGGAGGGCCCCTACTGCCTGCTGCAGGGAATTGGAAGACGGAAAGACCTGGAGCGCCTCTGGCAGCGGCACACCTTCCTTCGCTGGGCACCTTGCGAGCTGGAGTTGAGCCAGCAGCCCCTGGAATCTTCCTACCAGTCCGATTTCCGGCCAGGCCCAGGACTCAGTAGCTTCCCACAGCGCCTCGGTCCACTTTGTGCAGGTTCAGCCTCCCCATGTGAGCACCACCTACCAGCAGAACTTCTGCCAGCCATCCCAGGGTGGCCACTGTGGTAGTGACAAGGTAGGACCCCAAACACCGGTCACCAACATTCTGCCTGACCTCCCAGGGATCCCAAGACCCAAGATGCTACAGCACTATCTTTACAGTGGGGTCTCTGAGTGTCTAAACTGGTCTGGAGCATTAAACAAGGACAGCTAACAGAGCAACCTGTCTGTACACAGAAGTTTCATGGGTTGGTGAGCAGTGGTGCTCTGCCATTGGCACTGCTGTCCATGACTGTTGGGCTAGGGAGGTGCTGCCCTGGGGAGCCCTGCCACCAAGTGAGAATGGATAAGGCCTGAAGGAGGCTCAAGAGTCCAGGACAGTTACCATGACCATGGTAAGTTGGTTCCAGGGACCCAAATGTTTCTTTGAAATTGCAGTAAATCCAGCTGTGAGCCCCTTGTACTCAGTATAGCTTTAAGGAAAGCAAAGCCAGAGACTCCTACTTGTGGGCATTAAAGGCTGGAGAAAGAGGGAAGGACTGGCAGCTTCCTCTAGGATACTGCTTCCCTTGAGAGGTTTGGTGAGTGGCCACAGTCCTGCCCAAGAGATGGCTGTCCCACATCTAGCACTCAGGGAGACCCACCAGACCACCCCTCCCTATGAGATGAGCTGAAGCCTTAAAGAGACAATGTGACTTGGAATGGAGTATATCCTAACCCTGTAAAGTTTCATTTTCTGAGCTCTTCTCTGGTCATCCTACCTGTGTCCAGAACATCCAAGATAGTAGAAGAGGGCTGTCATCCAATGTCACCTAAGGCAAAGCTGAGGCTTATGTGGGGCAGAGACACCAGATCACTTTGGGGATAGAGACCAGATCCAAGAGGCTTCCTGTAGACCTCCCTTATCTCTGGGAGAGTTGAAGCCCTGAAAGGAGGACAGAGACCATGAGGGTAACAGGGAGTCCACACCAGGATCCCCACATCAGATTTCAGCAATACTTTTACTTTCATATCCAAAATTCCTGGATCCTCACAACAGCCCTGTGAGGTAGGTAGGGTAGGAAGGTTTCAGAGATCCTCATTCACAGACGAGGATGTTGAGGCACAGAGAGGTGAAATGACTTGCCCAAGGTCATACAACCAGCAACGTAGAGGGCCCAAAGCCAGAATTCCTCTTGCCCTCTGGCAGTTTTTACGTCCTTTCCTCCATTCCCTCTGTGTCCCTCACCCTCTCTGAATATACCTAGGTCTGCAGGAACCTTCAAGATAGGCTGGGATTTTTCAGGAATGACCACTTAGATGGTTCTGGCTAACTCGAGATAGTCAATGCCTATCCTGCAGGGTGTAAGGCCAGCTCGCTCCTGAGCCCACTTTCCTGTTGGACACAGGGCCTAAGGGGCTCCTGGGTAAGGGTGGAGCTAGATATGGTTCATGAATGAATTGTGGTAAAGTTAGATGTGAGCATATGCTTGGCCTATGCTAAAGACAAAGGCTCCCTAACCCAAGCCCCCAAGGGAATGCCTCAAGTGCCTGTCCATATGCCTCCCTCATCCCACAGCCATATAGAGCTCCTTCAGCAGCAAATGGAGCCACAGACACCTGCTCCTGTACTGAGCTGCTCCAGTGAACAGACCCAACCAGGCCTTCAGACTCCATCACACAGACATAGTGCCTCTACAGCTTGACTGGGGCCCTGGGCCACACCCCCAATAACAAACAGCCGGGGCCCTGCCTGTAGGCTAGAACAGGAGCAGCGAGCTGTGGGCATGGCAGGCAGTGCCTCCCAGCGCCGACGTGTAAGACTGAAGCTCTCCACGGAGCCAAGAGGGCATGGCTGGTTTCCTGTAGGAGAGACAGAAAGTTGTAAGGGGGTTCCAGGCCCTTTTGCTCACTGAGCCCAAAAAATAGCCCTTGACATCACTCCAGGATAGGCTACAAGTGCCTTGCTCCTCATTGTCCCTGTTCAGCATTTGTTCATTCATTCATTCATTCATTCATTCATGTTTTGATTTGTCCACTTGGCCACGCATTCAGTGATCGCTTGTCTTGTTTCTGTCTCCTAGAGCCCTGATGGCACATAGACCCCCCAGTCAGGCACTGGGCCAGGCAGATCACAACCTGCTTTTGTCACAGATAAGGAAAGGGAGATCACAAATTCCTGACCTCTGGAGTGTCTAGAGAAGGGGGTGTTCCTGCTGGGGGCTACTCTTTTCTATCTTGGGCTCCCTTCTTCTCCCTAGCCCCACAAAGACTTACCAAGACCCCCGATGGCCAAGATGTGGCCCCCAAGGGAGCCAACCACAAAGTCTGCCCTCTTATCCCTCATACGCAGGCTGCGAGGCAGCTTGGTCCAGGACCCTGCAGGAGAGGGGAGGTCATATCTAACCACACATACACACTATGTCCCTCCATCCCACAGAGAGTAGGAGAACAGCCCAGGACAGCCACTGCTTACCATGCTCTAGATCAAACATCTCCACAGTGTTGACAAAATGTGGACGGGAGTAGAAGTTGTGGGGCCCAGGCTGCTGCAGGCCACCCAAGCTAAAAACATTGCCTTCAGCCATGGCACAGCCAGCAAAGGCCCGGCGGCTAGGGAGGCTCGGGTGCCGGGTCCAGGTACGGGCCTCCAAATCAAAAGCTTCAAAAGCAGTCACTGGGAGCTTGCCCTGGCGGCCCCCTGCCAATGGAATTGGGACACTTGGGGAGAGAGTCCAGGGAACTTGATGGGCTCCTCATTCACCAAGTTGCAGATATGTCTGCCCCAGCCTCCCAGGCACAGCTGTGTGCACATCCGCATGTGGATCATCTACCACACAGTTGCTCAGGCACTGGGGTTTGGTTTTCCAACCTCAGCAGGGCCACCAGCAGTCAGAGCCTCAGAGTAGTCCTGGATCATCCCAACAAAGCTTCTCAAGACCTGCCATCTCAGACTGAGCGATCCCTCCCACACCAATATATGGTGATGGACTCTAAACCCCTTTCTCACATCTCCCAGACCCTTACCCAAGACATAGATCTTGTTCCCATGCAGGAAGGTAGAAGCCCCATAGCAGGGTGTGGGCATGGAGGGTAGTGAAAGCCAGCAGTCACGGCGGGGCTCATATACCCGTACCTGGGCCTGGGGGGCCGTGTCAGGGCCCATTCCTCCCAGGGCATACACCATACCATCTGCATAAAAAAAGAGTAATTCAGACTGCATTCCAGCCTAGCTAGGGTAGCCCACCCTGACAGCTGCCCTAGTCATGCCTGGAGTGGCTGGAAACCCGTGGTGTTTGTTTAAAACCTGCTGCACATCTGGGGTGAAAGCTGGGAGAGGTAGGATTCTCGCTCTGGCCAGGGCCCCTCTGAGTGAAGAGCAGGAGGCGGCTGATCTAATTATAATCCAGCTCTGTCTCCCTGGAGATGCTATAGCAACCAAGTCTGGCATCCAAGCAGGGCTGGTCTAGGCCAGTGGTCAGACCTGGAGGCCACAAGGTAGGGGCTTCCTTGTTGGGGGTCATTTAAACCAGGTGTTGGTGGCATATGGATATCTGCTTAGCATGAAGCTCAGTCTAGGGAGAAGATTGGAGATCACTTGGTGTGGGGGCAGGGCTGGGAGAAGGCTTAAGCCTATAGGATAGAGGTGCGGGCCACAGGCCTTCAGCATCAGTCTCCCTGCCAGCACCTCTACACCATACCTTTACACTAGCTTAGGTTCCTGCCTTCTGTTAAGCCCTCAGAATGAGCTAAGTGCATGTCTAGTAGTCTTGGGGTGATGTGCCTGTCAACTGGGTTTCCATGGCAACCATCTCCAGGTCAGCTTGGCCTTTGTCCATATGAGGATCCCTGGTGTGTATGTGTATATAGTGGGGGAGTCTAAGCACTTAAGCATTTGCTGGGCTCTGAGCCAAGGCCCTGCTTCCCTCCCCCCACCCAAGACTATTTATAACCATGAGAGTCATTAGGCCACCCCCCCCTACTGTCTCTTAGAAATGAGGAATGGGGCAGGGTGTTGGCTGAGACCTCCTATCATTCTGGGGACCTGTCTGTGGTTCTGTCCCCACCTCATAGCCAGAAAAGTCAGTTAACAGCCCAGTTCAGAGGGAGACATGAGAGGATACAGGAAGCAAAGCAATGTCTGGGCAGCTCTTGTCTAGTCTCTGAGAGCAAGGGACCAAGTCAGGACAGAATAGAAGGTTTGGGGCACCTTGAGACCTTCCTTGGGAAGCCACTCACCTCTCTCTACAGTTGCAACCCCCATGGCTGCTTGAGGAAGGGTGGCCCGACGCTCCCAGCGGCCTTCATCAGCTAGGAAGGCCTCCACAGCAGCTACTGGACTCTGGATTTCATCCACACCCCCCACCACTAGCACCTGCTTGCCCAGAACCACAGCAGCTGCACCAGCTCGGGCAGTGGGCAGAGGCGCCAGTGCCAGCCATGTGTGCGAGGCCATGTCCAGTGTTTCGGCAGTATCCAAGGGTAACCCAGACCGGCCACAGCCCCCCAACACCAGCACCTGCCCATCCTGGTGCGCCACTGTTCCATACACCCGGCAAGTGGGCATGGGGGGAAACACCTGCCAAGCAAAGGTGCAGCCACCACCTGCAGCCATGTCATTCACTGCTGTGGCAGGCCATGCTATCTGCTCAGGCTGTAGGCCTTACTGGGGAGACATGATAGAGTCTCATCTTGATTCTGCCAAGGATGCGAGGAGTGTCTGAGCAGTCCAGGGAATTGCCTCCACCTGGAGGAGAAAAGGAAAAACAGGGTCGGGGCTTCCTAACCATCCTTTAGGGAAACAGACACAGCTTGTTGCTGAAGGCAGGGCAGGCTAAAATCACTGGTGGGAAAAGTAGGGGAAAGACCTACCCCTCTGACTAGCACACCTTCTGGAGTGGGAAGGAGGACATAGAGAGTGGTCTCCTCTGTATGGGGGCATGAGGGATGTTCCTCCCCAACCCCTGTGCTAACAACTAGGAGCAACTCAGTCAATCTGGGTCTAGGTAGAAGGAAGGTGACTAGAACAGAACTCTCCAGCCTAGTGCCCTTCCTTTCCTCTCAACAAGCCTCATCCTGGTTCTGCATGAGGTAAGTACTGCTAAATCTGGCTTCCAGTGTGCCCTGGGCAGCCTGGGATCCATCCATTCTGGTCCCCCACCTGCTGTCCCTAGTCTGATTCTAGGGTATCCTTACACCACCATTTCACAGTGTTCAACCGTTCTCGCCAGCAAAAGACCAGGGTCCGGGGTATCTGAGGCTCAGGAGGCCGGGTGCCAGGGATCCACACTCCCCTAGAGGTTCACCCTCAAGGATTTCCCATGCTAGCAGATTCCCTGGCGTCTAGAAGAAGGGGGTACTGGTTTGGGGAATCTCATGAACACAGGACTCTAGGATACCAGAACCCAGGGCGTTTCTTGCAGGAATGCGCAGCTGGACTTCTCAGTCCCTTAAGAGCGGGATTCAAGTTCTTCAGCTTTCCCTTTACCTGGGGGTTTCCACTCAGACCATGGTTCTCCTCCTGGCCCCAAACTTCCAGTTCGCTGAGGTGGGGGCGGGTCTGGGCAAGTGCGCTTGGGGGGTCTACGCTCCACGCCCCAAACTTCCCCTGAGCGCGGCTCCCGTGGGACTCACCCGCCGGGGTTCCGTGCCGCCGGGGTACGGGGTCCGCCGTTCCGCCTCCGCTGACGCCGGCTCTGGCTAGGGCTGTAGCCGAGCTCCGGCGGGGCTCCCGCACCGCTCGGGCGTGGGGCGGGGCTGGACCGGGTCCGCCCCTCGCTCCCCCTTCCCCAGACTCTGGGAAACCTCCTCCCGCCTTAACTCTGCACGTGCCGCGGCCGAAGAAGGGCGCACCGACCCACGAACACACACAAATGAACAAATAAATGGACATGTGGAACGTGGGCCTGCCAGGATTTAAGGTCCGACCCCGGCGGGAGTAGAAATGAGGCAGCGCGGCACAACGCCCGTATGGTGAGGGGTCGTTCTGAGCCGGACCCAGCTTGAGTAAGCAAGGCCTGGAATCTGCGGGCTTGAGGGGCCGGCGCCAGTCCAGAGCAGTTGAGTTTGGAGGAGCCCAACTACCGGCTTTTCGGCTGCGCCCTCTGGAGGCCACTTAGGGTCTCTATTCGGGGGCTGCGGGCTCATTGCCCTAACCCGGGCACAAAACAGGGCGCAGAATAGATCCTGTAGTGCATATTAAGATCAGCAGGGGATGGAGGAGCAGACAGTGGCCTCAGGGTCTCATAGGCCTGGGTGGAAGGAATTCTTGAGTAGCTCTGAGCAGAGGATGAACTAGAAGAGTCAGAGGTCAGAAGCCCTCCCAGGTGGGTCACTGGTCTCATCCTGTGAGGTCTGAGACGGAGGCTACTCTGGGGCCCAAGGTACTTTTGAGACTGTGCATCTTTAGGTTCCAAGGCCTGCATCTAGCCAACTCTAGAGTTAGGTGAGAGCAAATTGGTGTGGCAAGGACCCAACTAGCTCAGACTCAGACCTTGGAGCATTTGGAGCATTGGAGCATTCAGAATATTACCTGAGTCTTTGAGCTGGGGGCTCACTTGTATAAGTCAGAGGTTACCTACTGGAAGAGGTCCTTGCAGTAGTGTGTCAGTTCACTGCTTTGTTCTTTTTCTTTCTTCTTTCTTTTATTCAAGGTACTGGTGATTAAACATAGGGACACTTTACCACTGAACTATACATCCCCAGCTCTGTTTTTTATTTTGAGTCAGGGTCTCACTAAAGACCTGATGAGGCGGGCCTCAAACTTGTGATCCTCCTGCCTCAGCTTCCCCAGTTGCTGGGATTACATATATGCACCACCGCACTGGGTTCCTTGTCCCTCTTTCACAGATTGTGTGAGTATGTGTCTGTGTTTTCCCCACAGCAGATTGGAGGCAAGGATACAAGTGCATATCATTAGTATGGGTGATGAAGTCAGAGAGCATCAACCTGAGTAGAAAGTAGACAGGGGATTGGCTGGGGTTGTGGCTCAGTGGTACGGCGCTTGCCTAGCATGCCTGAGGCACTGGGCTCGATCCCCAGAACCAAGTAAAAATAAAAAGTAAAGGTATTGTGTCCATCTACAACTAAAAAATTAAAAAAAAAAAAAAAAAAAGACAGGGAAAGCAGCCACTAAAGAAGGTATCATCAAGCAGGTTACTACTGTGGGCAACTGGGACCACATGATCCTTCTGGGAATTTTAGAAGATAGTGTAGAACATGGGCCTACAGAGCAGTGGGAGCTGAGGTTCTCATTCTCAAATCCCCATTAGTTATGGGTGGAGAACTATTTAGGGGCCTACCTGACTTCTGGCCTTTCCAGATTGTGGGTAAACTCTTCCCTATGGCCACAGAGAGAGCCTTCAGCCTTTTCAGGGGATGGCAGTTGAAGTCAGAGACCAGCACAGAAATGGTGGTGCCTTGGCTAGTTACAGACTGCATAGACCTTGACTAGAATTCCTACCCCACTTCACCCTGACTTGCTCCACACTTGATGCACTTCCCCCAATGGAATGCGCTAACTGCCCTGAGGACCCTTCAGGGGTTTCCCCTCTCCAAGCCCCTATCCCCTCCTTTTCAGAAGTTAGGTACTTACAAGCTGCCTGTCTTTAGATACCTCCTAGAACCAAATTCCTCTAGTCTATCCTTTCCCTCCAGTCAAGTTCTTCAAGCCATCTACCCTCATAGGCTCTCCTGCCTTGTTTTTTGCCATTTCAATCTGTTGCCACTTCTTCCCCAAAAGTGTTCTTTTTTTTTTAAATATTGTTTTAGTTGTTGATAGACCTTTATTTTATTCATTTATTTATATGCGGTGCTGAGAATTGAACCCAGTGCTTCACACATGCAAGGCAAATGCTCTACCACTAAGCCACAACCTCAGCCCCCCAAAAGTGTTCTTGAAAAATCATTATAAAGCTAAAACTAGAGAGTCCATATTAGTTTGTCTTGGCTGAAATTTTGCCGACATATTTTCATCTCTTGTGACCTCAGCTTCCTCTTGCTGCTTTGCTTGTCTTGTGTCTCAGAATCTTTTGCTGGCTCTTCTTCCTTTCCCTACCCAGAGAGTAGCTCAAGCTCTGACCCCAGCTTTCCTCACATTCTGGCTCTTGGGGAAATCTCTACCAGGCTGCTGCCTTCGCTCACATCTAAATCTCTACCAGATCTCTCTACTCAGGCGGGTATGGGTCCAGAGTCTACTTAGATGATACAAGGCACCAAATGGAAAACAGGATAGATTCTGGGATCATCTTCCCAGGATAATGTAGACTCTTTACACTTCAACCTGTTTGATTCCATTTATGCCTTTGGCATCCGCCAAAGTCTCAGTCAAGTCAAATTGTGCTCTGATGAGTGCTCCCACAGAGTTTCATGTGGGACTTTCTGGGCATCACCCCCTCAGGGAGCTAGGTACCCTATGTTACTTACCCCCAACCCCCCCCATCTCTCTAGTTCCCATAATTAACAGGTACAGAGAAGGATGGACCTACCCCTCTTGCCCTGAGCTATGGACTGGACATCACCACAGAGAGATCTCCTTTCTAGGATATACCTGGACTGGTGCCATCCCTGGAGGTCAAGCTCTTCCTATTCATGGAAATGGTTTCTGTTTGCATAACCATGGCCCAGCCAAATACAGGGGAACAAAACTGCTGGTTTGGGAAGACAACTAAAGTAGACGGTAAGATTGTATTGGCCCAAGAATAAAAAACCAATCCTCTCAACCATATATAGGCCATAGATAAGGCTAGTTAGAGACTGGAAATGCCAAGTTGGTAGCCCATGAGACCCTGGCCAGTGGGACCCCACACTTCCTTTCTAGGGCCTAAAAACACTAATCCCAGAGGAGCAGGAGATTTTGCAATTCTTGCTGGACATCTGGACTATGTATCAGTGTGGAGACCCTGAGAAGCTAAGGGCACCAGGTGAGGCCTAGGGCATTGCTGAGTGGAGTGGGTGCTTATATTTAGGAGTGTCTGAATCCTTCTAAAGACAAGGAAATAGAAAGCAGCCAGAGGATTCTGAGGTCATATGGGAAGGGAAAAGGACAAGTACCCAGACCCTAAAAGAAACTTCTAGCCATCCTCTTGTGATTGCTAATAGACTTCTACCTTCCCCCAACTACCAAATATGGCACCATTACAAAGATTAGGGTACAAGAATTGTGGCCATATTTCTGCCTTCTGTGTCAGGCTCTGACCAAATTCATATGCCCCTACTGTCACACCCATGAAACCAGGACTCCCATGATGGCTCCCAATCTGGATTCAGGAGATCCTGACAAATGGAGCTTTTGGTCAAACTTTGTGCAGACCATTCTGACCCCTCATCTGAAGGCACAGACCCCTAGGGATAATTTTGACCTGAGTTCTCTAATTTGGTGCTGCAAGGGTAGTGGACCCTATCTAATTTGGTGCTGCAAGGTTAGTGGATCACCATCACTCTGATGGCTATAGCAGATGGAAAGACTGATGTCCCACTCTCCTAGGCAAAAGGATAGGGGATCTGGGCAGTGTTAAGATTGGAGGTGGAACTTTTGCGCCATTGATGAGCTGAGGCTGGACCAGGGCCTCTCCATAACATTAATGCACATATGCCTAGGTAAGTATACTCAGGCCTACATCGGTATACTGTGGTTTAAAGACTAGACATGGATATCTTTGGACTTCCGTATAGCACTTATGATCACATGGGTATACCACTCTTTCATTGATGTATAGTGGGCTCCATTTTCAGGAAGACAGGAGGGCCTTTTCTCCTCAGAGGAGATACCTTTGCTGCATAACATAGGGGCTACCCTGAGACACTTCCTATTAGGGAATACTCCTTTCATCCTCTGGTCAGATGCCTGGGACAGAAGTGGGCTTTGTCAATTTCTACAGGAGGACCAGAGTATGGAAAATGGCCTGGACCTTGCCAGGAACCATTCCCAGATGTCACTGCATTACCAAGGCCTCTTAGGATGTCAGATGGCCCCCTAATCCAGCCCTACCTGGACTCAGTAGTCTTGCCTGGGGCTGCGCTCGAGAGTGCCTTTGATACTCAGATTCCTGAATTGTACCAGACGGGTTTGTGGCGGTCTTCGCGGCCACCACCTCCAGGCAGTCCTCCCGGGTACCCAATCTGCCTCGCCCCCAGACTTTGGGGGGAAATGGGGTCTCGGGGGTCAAGGGTCACTAGGGCGGGCCCGGGCCCGGAAGCGGAAGCGCGGCACACTTCCGGCGCGCAGCGGGCGGCCATGTTGGAGCATCGGAGGCGGCGCAGAGGTGCGTCCTGGGTCCCCGCGGCGGCGCCGGTAGGTTGGAGCCGCGGGCCTAGCCGCGCCGCGGAGTGGCGGCCCGCGAGGCGGCAGGGCGGAGGGCCCGGGCGGCTGACGCTTCCCGGACCCGCGTTCTCCGCTGGTTTGGCCCAGGCCCCCACCCCTCCCCCATTCAGCAACCCCACCCTGGGGCTGCACGGTCCGGGTCGAGCTAGGACGGCCCATCCTACATATTTCATTGCCGCTGTGACCCCTGCCCCGCCTTCTCCTTTTGGGCTCCTGGGACGCGGATTCCTAGCCAAAGGGTCCCGATATGCCCCTTGACACCATTCCACTTGTCTGGCGCCTCACCCGACCCCATCTTTGGTGAACCTCCCCTGCTGGCCCAGAGGCACTTTTGAAGGCAAGTTCGGGGCCCGGCTGCATCCTGTTTCCGAAGCCTCTTGAAAGCCGAGAAGACCCTTACCATGGGTTCCCACTGACCTAGGCGAAGAGCCCCGGGGTCATCCTAGTATCAGCCCCGGGGGTTGCAGGTGGGAATAGGCCTCTCTCTGTTCTACAGTTCACTGCCCTGGGAACTACATCCCCTCAAATAAATAAATAAAAGAACTAAAAGTCATGTGCAAGGATTGTGCTTGTAGAGCGGCCTCTGGGGAGGGGAAGTGCCTCAGACACCTGAGGATCCAAGAATGTTTCCAAACAAAGAGCCCTAGGGCACTTCCTCCAGGGGATTCTGAAGACTTCATCTGCTCCATTAGAGCGGTGGGAACAATCTGTACAGCCAGTCCTCAAGGCCCCAGGGACCTGCCTGAACCCAGCTGATCTTTTAATGCTCCAGTGCAGCTGGGGAGCTGCCACTTGCCTATGGGAACCCTGAAACACTGGGTTGGGTACTAGATAATAGTCATGACTGACGTACACAGCTTCAGAGAAGCCTGGGACAACTTGGGTGTTCCCAGACAACTCTGGGATGTTCTGCTGTCTGTTGCCCTCTAAGCTCTGAGGTTGGAGGTCTCAGGCCTTTGCTGTTCTTGTGACTCGCCATCCTATTCAGAGCCTTTTTCTTCCACTGTCTTCAAACCTTGGGCTTTTGGTCTGGCTGCCTGATCCCCAAGCTGCCTGGTTGCCTAGAGATTTCATCTGTACCTGTTACTCATCAGCTTTTTAGTGAGTCTCTGTCTTTGCCTGGGGTTGGTCTCCATGACTCTAAAGCAAGGATTTGGACTATCAAGTAGCCTCTGAAAGCAGAACTTCTGGGCAGGGACACCCCCCACCCCCACCCAACCAGCACTGAACACCAGCAGCTGGAGGCACATAGATGAGTGTGGACATTGGGTGTAAGTGCGGGCCCTTTGGCAAAACTTCAGAGCTGGGAAAACAGTCCTACCCTTGACCTGTTTTCCCAGCTAAACTCAGCCTGGCCCCAGACTCCCCATCAGATGTGCCTTACTCTTTCACAGTTCAGAGCCAGTGTATAATCTTCATTTCTACCTGGTACTTTTCTTTTCTTTTTTTTTTTTTTAAAGAGAGAGAGGAGAGAATTTTTTTTTTAATATTTATTTTTTTAGTTCTCGGCGGACACAACATCTTTGTTTGTATGTGGTGCTGAGGATCGAACCCGGGCCGCACGCATGCCAGGCGAGCGCGCTACCGCTTGAGCCACATCCCCAGCCCCTCTACCTGGTACTTTTCTATTCATTACTCATCCTAGGTAGATGTTGCCTCTTGCAGGAGTTCTTTCCTGACTTATTGGCAAGTTAAGCTTGGTTACACCATATGCTCCTAAGAGCATTAATGGTGCCTGTGACTTACCTTCTGGACCAGGCTCATTGAAGACAGAGATGTTGGCTTGTGCTCCCAGGGCTATCTAATTAGGTTTTTGGCATCAGAAAAATATAATTTAATAAGGACTGGGGATGTAGTGGTAGAACACTATCTCGGTAGTAGAGCACTTGCCCAGCATGAGCAGAGACCCAAGTTTGATCCCCAGAACCACAAAAAAAAAAAAAAGAAAAGAAAAATTTTAAGCCTTAGATGGCTGCACACCTATAGTTCCAGCAACTAGGGAGGCTTAGGTGAGAGGATCATTTAAGCCTGTAAGTTTAGGACCAGCTGGGACAACATAGCAAGATTCTGTCTCAAAAGAAGGAAAAGAAAATGTAGAAATTAATTAAAATGAACTAGATTTAAAGTTTTCCAGGAGCCCAGCAGCAGGTTGGGTTCTTCTGAGCTACTGAAAAATGGCTAATCAATACCCACTTCAAAATGGTTGAGGGTCAAAAAAATAAATAAATAAATAAATAAAAAACCAAAACAACAACAAAAAAAAAAATGGTTGAGGGTCATCAGACTAGGGTTTTACCCCAGGAAATGACTCACTGTGGCTAGTTCCCTCAGTAACATAGAGAATGGGGTCGCTGATAGACCTGTCTACTTGCTTTGGCTCCATATCTTGGTGCCATTCTTATTGACTCTTTTCTTCTTGCCTTGGAGGTGCCAAGTGCTGATTTACGGATACCTAGGCAGATCTGCAGTGCCTAATGCCATGAGTGTGGTGGTGCAGCATGTGGAGGAAAAAGCTGTGCACTCCTGGTCTCGCATCTCCACAGCAGGAAAGAAGGCCCTGGAAGAGGCGCTGCTTGTCTTTAACCCCATGAGCCAGGATCTCAGTGCCACAGAGGCCCAGCTTGTGGCCTTTCTACAGGGTCTGCGAGATGATGGCTTCCAACCTACCATTCTGCGCAGTGGTGATGTCTATGGGTATAGTTCATGTACAGCCAACCCTCCAAGCCAGACGAAACTACAGGCTCGTGCCCCCATCCCAGCTGCCACATCACCTCCAGTCAGTGCTCCCCGAACTGCCATTCAGCTGCCCTCAGGCAGGGCCACATTGCTTCCCATGCCACTGTCTGGCAGGCTGGCCAAAGGGTCCACACCAACCCTCACCAAACATGCTACCACCAATCTGCTGCTGAGCTCCCTGAAGCAGTCAAGTGCCAGCCGTGCCAAGGGTGCAACAGTGGGCTTCCCTGCTCACCTCTATCCAAGTGTCTACCCTGCTATGCGGCTTTCAGTTGTCCTTGAGGCTCTGGTTCCACTCAAGACTCCCATGCCTTGCTTAGGTGCTAAGCACAAGGCACAGTCACTAAGACTTTCACTTGCAGACTCTCCCCTGAAATTGCGGAAAGGTTCAGGGAAGGGTCCAGGGAACCCCCAGCCCAAAGCTCCCAGAAAAACAAACAAGGGCCCCAAGTGTCTGACTCGCAAAGGCCCTGGGGCTGGACCCCAACGAGGCACTGGGCTCCAGAGCAAGACTTACAGAACCACTGGTTCCCTCAGTGATCTGCAAATGAAAGGGGGCTCTGCCCTGAGCACTAAATCAGACCAGGCCAAGGCAGCTCAAACAGTGTCCAAAGCTGCCTATGCCCATGCCAAGGCAGCCAAAGCTGATGCAGCACAAGTCAAGGCTAAGGCCAAGGCAGTCCAGGCTAAGGCCAAGGCAGTGCAGGCCAAGGCAGTCAAGGACAAGGCTAAGGCAGTCAAGGCCAAGGCCAAGGCAGTCAAGGCCAAGGCAGTCAAGGCCAAGGCAGTCAAGGCCAAGGCCAAGGCAGTCAAGGCCAAAGCAGCTCAGACCCAGCCCAAGGGCAGGGGCAGGCCAAAGGGATCTGCTCAGGCCAGAACTGCAAGGAAGGGCCAGAAAACCTACTCTGAGACTGTGGGGCAGAAGAGGAAAAGGGCTGAGGAAGCAAAGGACCTTCATCCTAAGAAGAGAACACGGCTGGGGCCCCGATCTCCTAAGTCATGGCTGGGGTCAGCAACAGCAAAGCTCCTAAAGTTCCGGGCCATAAAGGTAGACAGGCAGTCCTCAGATGATGAGGTTCGACAGCGGGCCCAACAGATACTCCGTGTGAACCTGTCTCCTATAATATGGCTCCAGCCATTGCTGCCATACTCAACAGCCTGATTCCTTCATACAGCAATATTTGAGAAAATAGCCCAACTGTGTGTGTGGCCAGTGGCACAGTGTGCCATGCCTGTGGACTCTGCAACTTTGAGGATTCTGGGTACCTCTCCAGGGCCCCTGCGGCTGCCAGTCTCCTTTCAGAAACTGGAGGATTTGTGGTGGGGTGGGTAGTGGGAGGGGTGTTCTTATGGCGCAATGCACTGTGACTTGTTCTTCAAGTTGTATGTCCACTGTTCCATCTATCATGTTTTATACCTTTCCACCTTCCAGTCTCCCTGCCCACCCTCCATGGTCTTTTATTGTGTGTGTGGCTGCTGGCAAGCCAGCTTAAGCATATAGGAAAAGTTGTCCCAGTCAGTTTGAGTGATGGGGTAGGAAGGCAGAAAGGGGAAGCATAGGCCCCTCTGGAAAGACGAGTGGGAATTTGGATACTGGCTTCTGTGGGTATGTGAGAGACATCTCACGAGGGTAGGGGCAAAGCCACTGTGAGGTAGAATACTTCACCTTGAGGCTGCCCTATTTTTTATCCAGTCAGACCCCGTATAGTAGGACTGGGCAGCTCAGTGGGGAACCTTGCAGCTAGCAGTATTTTAGGCCAGGGAAGGGAGACTTTGTGGTACTGCTACTGGGGACAAAAGATACCCTGGCTTTGTCTGGAATGGGGCCAAGCTTAAAGGGGTTGAAGTGCCTCTGCTGAGAATGTACTAGCTTGTTTCTCCAGTTGGTGGTAAAGGACTGGGCATTCAATTAGGACTATAGAGCCTGCCTTCACTGACCAAAGAATTTTTTTAGTTGTGTAGGGTATCTGAGTTTCCATCTCTGCTTCATCAGCAGTGCTTTTCAAGTGCTTTATTTACTCCCAGGTAGTTTCACCATGCCCCCCTATCACAGACCTGTATATTTCAGGTGTTATTGGCACATTCTGCTTTGGAGGGAGGACTGGGCCTTGAATGCACCCAGCTGCCCTATCCATCTGTGGTTCATCACTGGTTGCCCAGGCTATATAGCAGTGGCTGAGCACATAGGGAGGGAGACACATTGCCCAAAGGCTCCTGGGGACAGCATTTCAGGGATGGAGGGGAGAGCTTTGTTTGGATGAGAATCAGATCCTCTCTGTCTCTGGGTTTGTCTGAGCCCTACTATTGCTAGTAGCCCTGAGTGGTGGGCCTGTGGAGAAGCTCTAGATGTTCCCCGCCCCCTTTCTTCTGCCCCTGGGTACTGCTAAGTAATTAACGATTAACGTCCTTCCCCTGAGTGTATTTAACGTCCTTCCCCTGAGTGTATTGTCCTCCCTTGGTTCCCCAAACTCTGAGGACATCTTTGCAACCATCTGTGCTGTAACCCTTCAATCCTGCATGCTACTTACCCTCTGGGTTCTGCTTTCATTGTGAGAATGGGAAAGACCTAAGGGCCACACTACCTCTTCAAGGGCTGTCTTTTGGGACCCACTCTGTATTTTCCCTCAGGCCTGATTCCAGGTCCCAGCATTTATGACTCCTGGTAGAGTTGGGTCTCCTTCCATTTCTATTGCTGCCACCAGTGGGTGAGGGTTGGTTGTTTGCAAGAGGGCCAAGCAGAGGGGGAGGAGGAATCTGGCCTCCTGGTGGGATGGGGTGAAGTAGGGGTATCTCAGATTTCTACTTAAGACTCTACCCCACAGCCGGGTGGGGTGGCACATGCCTGTAATCCCAGCAGCTCAGGAGGCTGAGACAGGAGGATCGCAGGTTCAAAGCCAGCCTTAGCAATAGTGAGGCACTAAGCAACTCACTGAGACCCTGTCTCTAAATAAAATACAAAATAGGGCTGGGGATGTGGCTCAGTGGTTGACTGTTCCCTGAGTTCAATCCCCAGTACCATAAAAAAAAAAAAAAAAAAAGACTACACCTCCCAGTCCCAGCTCCTAGATCAGTTGGCCAGAGGGTGCCAGGTGTACTCACTTGGCTGCTCAAGCAACAGTTGTTACCTGTCCCCTGGCAACTTGGTTGTTGGTAAACCAAAACCTCAAACTTCATCCACCTGTGACCTTCATGGCCCCAAACGGTATTGTATTGTCTTGTTACCCTGCAGGTAGGTAAGAGAGTGAGAGCCCTGGAGACTGCTGTCTTTGAGTTGTGGGGGCAGTTTCTTTGGGGTGTCCTGGGTAGGTTAGAGTCCTATGGGGGTCTGGGTCATTGCTGGGGGCTGGAGGGAGCACCCTGTGCTATTGATATTTTGGAATAAGAAGCTGACCTGCACCTCCTGCCTAGTCAAGTCTCCTTGGGCCCTCCCTGACAACTCAAGAATTGCTGCTTTTATGACTTTCGGGACCAGGGAGGTCATGACATGGAGAATGTGATTTCCCAGAATGGCTGTGGAAGCAACAAGACCTGGTGGCAGGCAGAGTGGTAAGGGTGCTGGCGTGGCCCTAGGTGGGAGTCTAGGGTCAAGGCCTGATTGTGGATTAGATCTAAGGTTGACTATGTTGAAATTGCCACCATTCATCTGGACCTAAAGGATATCTCTACCCATTTTATTATCATGAAAAGTGCCCCAGACTGAAGGCTTGCCCAGCAAGTGCTGATCCTATGCCTCCCTACTTGATGGTCACCAAGGATGCTTATCCCTGGTGACCAAGGCCCCCTTCCTGTCTGTAGACATTCTACCCAGCAGCTCTGCTCTTTGAGTGGACCATGCCCACTCCTAGCACATGTACCAAGGCTTTGCCAATAATTGTTTATACTTTTTTCCTGGGATTCTCTTCTGTCCCTGTCCAAAAGGTCAGTGACCTTGTCTATGACCAGCATTCCTTGAACATTGAGCTTTCCACTCAGGGCAAGTTCAACCCTAGAGAGGAAGGAAAGGGGTCTGGGTGAAACTAGAGGCGAAGCCTGTTTCCTCCTCTTAGATCATTTTTAAAGTTCTAGACCCTGCCATTCTAGTGGAGGACCCAAGTAATCCTGTGCGTTGGAATGTCAGGACAAAGCCAGACACTGTAGGGAAGTAAGGTTCTGCTTGGGGGTTTGCACTGACAGAGCAGGGCAGTTTCCTTAGCTGTGCCCCATCAGGGTCCTTTATTGTGGTCCCTGTGTTGGCTTCCCATTATTGTTTCCCTAGAGCACAGGGACTGCAAAGGGGAGCCATCTCCATTTATCTCCTATCTCTGAACCATCACTGGACCTTTTTTGGAGCTCTATTGTAGTCCTTTGTTACTGTCCCCATTGTTGTCCTCATCTCTGTTCTATGACTGCTCCTCATAACTCTCCCCTGTTGTGGTCCTCCTGTCATTGCCCTCCTAGATTCATGATCCTTGCCTGTCAGTCCCTCTTGTCCCTGCAGTTGCCTCTAGGTGGCATCAAGGAATCTCTGGATATGAACTCTTTCTTGTAAATAAGTCTTTTGTTAAAGGACTAGAAAGCTATATAATCATAACCAGCAGAGTCAGTCCAGGAGGATGCCAGAGAAGGACAGATTCTAAACAAGACTTCTTTACATGTACTAGGTATTCCCTCCCCACTTTAATTCCAGCTATTACTTGCTGCTTATCCTGGGCCCTCACATTGGATCTGCAAGCTGCAGAGGAAAGAGGAGAGGCCTGCAGAGAAAAGACACGTGAGAAAGCCTCAGCTTTGTGTTTAAGGTGCAGAGCAGAAAGAGGAATCAGAGACCCATCCCTTCATCCATGTGTACATTTAATAAGGGTTCTTTAAGCTCCACCCTCTGTCAGACATTTTCTTTCTTTTTCCTTTTTTTTTTTTTTTTTCAATTGGTTTTATTTTTGAATAAAATACATGACAGTGGTGTCAGGCATTTTCTAGGCAGTTTGATGGGTGGCAGATGGACAAGGTTTTTGTTGGAGCTAACATGAAAGCAAGAAAGACAGTTGATAGATAATGAAACATACTAATAATTTATGTGGTTAAATGAGATGATATACAGATTTCTAGTTTGGGTGAAGGACTGAGAAGTGAAATCCTTTTTTTTTTTTTTAACCCAGAGGTGCTTAACACTGAGCTACATCCCCAGCCCTTTAATTTATTATTTAATATCTTTATTTTTTTTATATATTTTCATGCAGTGCTGAGGATCAAACCTAGTGCCTCACACATGCTAGGTGAGCCATAACTCCAACCCAGATTTAATTAATTATTTAAAAAAATTTTTTTTTGTACCAGGGATTGAACCCAGGGGTGTTTAACACTAAGGTGCATCCCCAGCCCTTTTGATTTATTTTTCATTTTTTGAGACAGTGTCTTGCTTAGTTGCAGAAGCTATCTTTGAACTTGTGATCCTTCTGCCTCAGCCTCCTGAGCTGCTGGGATTACAGGCATGTACCACTGGCTTAAAGTGGATTCCTTTACTGCATTTGGGGAAGTAGTTTTCAGATACCTGGAGATGTCAGAATGAGGTAGTAGGAAGTAGTGGGATGTACAGAAGCAACATCAGAACTGGAAAAAGGGAACTCTAAGTGCATTGGTGGAATTAAACATGATTATCCCAGGATGGTACACTCAGGGGATCATGGATAGGGAATCCCATAGCATGGGTGCTTGAGGAGGTAACTGCAAGAATGTAGAGATAAGAGACTGCCTGCCATTCTTTCCCCTCCATCCCAGCCATAGATATGTGAGACACCTGAAGTCTGACCTTCTGTGTCTCCAGCATATGACTATCCTCCATGTGAACTTCCCTCAAACTGCATACACTGGGGGACCTCAACGGACACCCCTTCTATTACTATGTCCTCTATGAGTTCAAGATCAGAAGCAGTTGATCATACCTCTAAGTGCACATCTGCACATGGGGCCCCAGCCAATGTGGAAGGAATGGTAAGGACCATGGAAGGGACATCTTGTAGTGGAATGGGTACAGTTTTGCATCTATCATCACCATATAGCTGGTGTTCACTGAGTGCCACCAGGACTTGCAACAGGACCACTCATATCATGCAACAAGTCTAGGCACCTCCATGTCTGCCCGGGTAGGTGCCAGGGTAGGTGCCATGTCCTACCCTGCTGGCCAAACCTGCCAAGGGTCAGCCCACCCTATATCTACCTCTCAGGTTCTGCCCCAGAAATTGAGTGGCATGGACATGCCTACAGTTGTCACTTTGACATGGCTGCGTTTCTGTCATCTGGCAATGTGAATGGAGGAGTGTGCAATTTATGTCAGCACAGGCTAGGCCTTCTTCCACTTGTAAGCCTATGGAGGATTCTTGTTCCCCTTGATCCTATAGACATGGGTCCTCCAACCTCCAGTTCCAACTCTAATCCTGATTCTTCTGCTGCATGGTGAC